TATTTATTGGACGTAGTGGAAAATTAAATTGCGTTCTGTAAAGCAAAACATGTTCTCTGCTTTTAATACTGTAATTTCTAGGAACAATTGTTTTCTTTTTTGTATGCATTTCAGATACAGTGAAAAGAATTTATATCCTCTGTCAGTTTTTTTATTGCCTGTCCCCATTGGGGAAATTCACCATTATATTTGTCCTGATGACTATTGTTCTCACAGGTAAGAGGAAAAATGATTTTAAGAGATTTCCTTTCACTTCTTTTTATGTCTCTGGATTATGAAGTGAAAGAAAAGTTCCCCAGTTGCACTGACGGGTATTTAATCCTTTTATACCCAACATGGAAGAAAAAAAAAAAAAAAGTGTTGTCTATACTTACAAATGAAATACATTATGACATAACCAGCCACTGAAAAAAATTCCAGGAAAGATATTTGATGCAGTATTAAAACCAAGAATGTAATGCAGCTTACCTAGCATTAGATGTGTCTGCATTAGTTTTCTTTTTAGGCTTCACTCCCTCTGTTTTCATCACCTGGTGATCTGGCCAGTAATACACCTCCTGTCTCACAGCACATCTGCACGGAGCAGAGTGTTGGATAGAATGAAAGATTTAATACATTAACAAACTGAAGCCCAATGCCAGCTTACACTTTATTAGCAGTGTTTTTTCTTTTTAGATAAAGATTTTACATAAATAATTAAGCTGATCATTGTGCCACTCCTGCTAGTATTAAATGGCTTGTCTCATCTCTGCAACTGATACATTCTGCTGGAGAACTTGTTCTTTTGAAAGTCAACAGACTTGATGGCCAGATCACCAGATGAAAGTAGAAGAAAGCAAGCCTAGAAAATAAAATAAATGTAGCCGTCCCATCTAAGAATTGGTAAGCTGCAATATAATTGTTTGCTTTTAACTTTAATTTAAACAAAACATGTTTTAATTACAAGGAGATTTTAAAAGGAATGAATCAATTGTCTGGTTCTCCTGGGGGCTCCAGCCACCATAAAATCTCCATCTCACTGTTGGACTCTGTATTGTGTATTCAATGGGGAAGTCTTTGTATAGACCCAGAAATCTCCCTCCTGAGATAGACAATAGTCTCAACCTACTGTTTACCCAAAAACAGAACTTTCAGAATTCAGTGAAATATTTTAAATTTTAACTAGATTTGAGAAGATAAAACCACCAAGGCCTGCAATTGGAGGGATTCTGCCAAGAGAAATGTATGGGGCTGCCATTGTTGACTGCAATGGCTTCCAGAGTCTTTGACCCAATAGGAATTGTGACACCCATTTACAGCGTGTCGCCTCTTCAAAGTATTTAAGCCAAATACAGTCTGGCAACTAGCAATACTGAAAAGACCATCAATGGCAGCCCCCCCCCCCCGACTTACTTCCTTCTGAAAGAGCCCCTTTGCCGCTGTACAGACCATGTAACACTCAATCCATAAAACATGACTTCTCTCATTACACTGCAGACAGAAACATCCGATAAATAGTTTCTTTATTGCAATTATTGTTCAGCAGTAATAACCCACAGAATATTTATTTCAACTTAAATCCACAATAAAATATACACATACTGTGGGACGGAGGATAAAACATGTGTCTGTAAAGCAGAAGATGGGGGGGAAACAGCCACAGAGTCACATCACTTGTTACCAGGAGGAGGGGAGACACAGAACTGATAGAGGGAAGGTGGACTCAGCGATGACAGTGTGGATCTCAGCAGTCTAAGGGGGATAAAGCAACCCAGCACAGCATATTTACACCCACTGGAGCATATTCAGTCCATAGAGACATGCAAGGTGAGGCAACAACCCCCCTCAAACACCTTTGAAGGAGGTTTAGATTCCTGACAAGTACTTGAAGTGTATCCATCACCCTCCTGTAGCAGGGCAGCCATACTGTTCACTAAGCCAGTCCTAGGCACTGGCTCCTATAACGGCTATTCCAAATCACAGCACAAAATGGCTGCCTACGTGATGGTCACACTTGGACACAAACAACATTATTCTCTAACATCATATGAGGAAAGTAATACCCTTTATCTGTACAAGCTGGAGGGCTAAACCGTTTGCAGAACAACTGTACAGGTGACCACAACCGTAATCCACTGCAGCAGGACGTACAGACGATGATATGTGACTGCTTTGGCCATTTGTAATAAATATTCACAATCTGTATTCAAAGCACAGTGTCACAGATCAAAACACCATTCAAGTCTAGCAGCTGTACAATCTGGCCACTTGTTTAACGATGAAACCTCATCAATAAAAAGCAGGGTTATGACTTTTGGACATATTGACCATGATTGGGTTAATGAACACATGTTCCAATATGGCTGCAGCATGGTCTGTTTTGTGCCTATAAATGATCCGACTGCTACAAGAAAAGTAGAGAACTTCATTTAAAAATACAATGGTACAGAATGACTTCACCACCGAAGGCCACCTTGTCCATCTGTCCCACCATAATATACTAAAGAATACAGAGAACGTACCATGGAGAACTCAAGAGACTGCTACAACATGGCCGCCTTGTGCATTCATATAACTTAGGAGCAGAATGGATGGACAAAGCTGAGGTGGCGTAACATTGTGACAAAGCGTTGTCAGATACATGCATGTCCTGTGTGACACAGTACTAAGGGAACGTGTGGAGTGCTTCAAGAATCCACCCTTCCCAGGAACAGACGGTAAGGGGGTGGAATGTTACTGGTTGTGAAGGAGACATCCTCTAGTGCTCCTGCCCACATCAACGAGAAGTCCAGTTAAGCGTAGTCACGATGGATTGGTTCTCTGGAATAACAAAAAATAAAAAATAAACTGAGTGCAGGCCTCTACAAATACTACCACTGCTAACCCCAGCACGCTGGTGGCAACTAACAACACTTCTGATCTGCAGATCAGCAGGGACATGCAATTATTAAACCCAGGAAGCTGGGTGTCATACGGGTCCAATGGCTTTAATAGCCTAAAGCAGGGGTGTCAAACTGGTGGCCCTCCAGCTGTTATGAAACTACAAGTCCCATCATGCCTCTGCCTTTGGGAGTCATGCTTGTAACTATCTTGCAATGCCTCATGGGACTTGTAGTTTGGAAACAGCTGGAGGGCCGCCAGTTTGACACCCGTGGTCTAAAGTAGCTAACCTGATCAGAAGTGCTGTCAGTTGCACCACGTTCGTTGTATCCTGGTTTTGGGCTCTGAAAGCACTGAACCTTTTTGGGATTACAGCAATGGCAGACTCCAGCATTTTCTCACTACAAATTTCCTCTGCAAAGACAATGCCACTTTGCTCTGTATGGGTAAGGTGTCATTCTCTCTTTAACCCCTTCAAGTCCAGACAATTTACCCCCTTACTTTCCAGGCCAATTTTCAGCTTTCAGGGCTGTCACCTTGAATGACAATTGCCCATTCATGCAACACTGTACCATATGAATTTTTTTGAGACAGATAAAACTTTATGTTGGTGGTATTTATTCACCACTGGGATTTTTATTTCTTTGCTATATAAATGAAAAAGTCCAAAACTTTTGAGAAAAAGTGTTTTTCTTATAAAATTTTGCAAATAATCTTTCTTCATAAATCTCAGCCAAAATGTATTCAGTTATCTTTTTAGTAAAAAAAAAAAATAAAATAACCCCAAATTAGTTTATAAACAAAAATTATAATTTTTCTAAATTGTTTTTTTTTTACATTTTTATATTTATTAATTTTTTTTAACATACCATCACCCTAGCAGTACAGTGTCTCCATAGTGACATCTTGCTTACTCCTATTCATGTGATCACTGATTGGCCAATCAGTGATCACATGATTGGGACCTCACACAGAGGTCCCATACAGCGATCAGTGTTCCACTGTGTCCTCTGGACACAGCGGGCACCAGCTCGCGGTGCCGCGCGCTCCCAGGGAGCATGCACAATCCAAAATGGCGATGCCGTTTATGAACACCAACCTGTCCCTGCACTGCCACGGTCCAGCCATTTATATACAGCAGCCGGACGGGAGGTGGTTAAAGGCCCTTTCCCCCTTATACCTAACTTACCAGCGCTCTCTTGCCAATTCCTTCCTCCTTTTCAGCCAGTGACAATACTGGGCACATCTGTGTATGGGGGAGCATGTGACCACCTCCCCTGTTACAGTGCTAGCCCTGACCATTGTCATATGACTGAAGGAGCAACAGCCGTGTTCCCCATGGTTGCGGATTCACTTAGACCCAGCTGCAATGATGGAAGGAGAAAGTGGGGGAGCGCTGGTGAGTATACGGTGGGTGGCCCTTTGCAGAGACATTGGCATTTTGCCCCTACATAGATCATGGTGGTGGTGTTTATAAAGAGAAGACATGCTTGTCACTCCATTTGTCTGTCACCACAATTCACCGAGGGTCACTCCTACCATCTATACAAATAAGTTCATTCAAAAGCAGCAAGTGGAAAAAGATTCAGGACACAGTGCCAAAGAAGTGAGCAGTCAGTTCAGCCTGCAGGGACGCTTAGTGTGCTCCACCTTCCTCTGAGTACAGGGCTGGAACATCCCTCCATGATTCTACACTTGCAGTCAGACTACATCGGGGGCATCCTGGTGCCAGTGTGTACAGTGACTTGCTGCATTCAGCTCCATGTGGTTGAAGTTGGAGAAATATGTATAGGAGCTTTGAGATTCTACAGCCATTCCCTGGCAGGGGACACTCTGCAGACAATGTGTTCTGGAACATGGGGAGTGTTTACAGCTTCCTGCAGAAGTCTAAATAAAACATGCAAAATCTCTGATTTTTCCACTACTGGCTACTGGCAATAACTATGTGAATTTAATGAAAAAACGAAAAAAAAGAAATTTTTGTTCGCTGTTTCAACCCTATATAAAGAAATAAATGAGAACACTGTGTATGTTGTGCTGCCTGCAGGCCAGGGAAAGAGCACACACATTCTGACAGACCAGAGCACAGGTAGAATTTCCTAATGCGCTCTATCTCCATTCACATACCCCATCATGCATACTTACGCAGCTTCTTCTTTTAGGAGGGCAAGAAATTTGCTGACACGATACTCTGGGTCCATCTAAGAAGAACAGATTGTAATTCTAGATTAATAAAGACATATTTATTCTATATAAAGTCTACATTTGCTCTAAAAATTGTTGGCCACTAGGCGGCAGTGTCTCTCACGGACTATACTGGCCAGTGGATGGTACCACCAATGTGCTGCTTCCTCCCCCCAGCACAGCCCTCCCTGTGTATCCTCACCTGCATGGACATCTCAATTAACATTAGCAGCTTCTTGATTCCAATGTAAACTTTTTTTCCCTTCACGTGTTGTGCGATGATGGAGCGTTCATTGTCCTTGAAACTACCCAGGAGCTGAAATGAGCAAAGAGAACGGTAAGACCCCAGATAATGAAATGGAGAAAAGTGAGCAGTACAAAGAACAGTCCACAAGACATGCTGGGAGGTGAATTGGCTCCTGTCTAAATTGTCCCTAGTATATGTATGTATGAATGTAAGTTAGAGACCTCAGACTGTACACCCCTTGAGGGTTAGGGACTGATGTGAATGTATAATAGATGGGAGTGTGAAGCGTACATTGACAGCACTATAGAAGTACCTGTAATAAATAGATCCACAATTGTCCTGCAGTATTTCTTTCCTACCTCTAGATGCCCTCAGTCTTTTGGGCTGAATGTCAGCCAGCATTCATTCAACCACATTCCTCTGAGCCAGGCTGTCTAGAACCACCCCCTGGAGTGGCATCATCTCAGGGGATTACGGCACAGAACAATCGTTACATGTTGTAATGTGGCCACCATTCTGTGCAGCTGTAAGGGCTGCCCCCATTGCCAGAGAAGAGGGAGAACATGTAACAAGGTCTTACTAGTTAGAAGATCCTTAGAAAGTGATGGGAAAGTTGTCTTTGTGTTTGTGTTTATCTTTTATATCCACAAAATATATGTTGCGCTCCTAAATACTTCTCAATTAATAATTAAATTATTACCATTAAATTAATTCAAATTATGATACAAATAACTAAAAAGTGTATAAATACCAAAAAATATTTAAATAGATAATTTCAACTAATCAATCTCCTCCAAATAAATATCAAAATAATTCCACATAAAATACTCCTCTGAAAAAAATATTTTACCAAGTGCTCATAAAGCATTAGTGACATGATGTACTTACTAATACCCTCAATTTCATTTATATTCATAATACCCTCATTTAATATAACAAAAATAATAAACCAACTAATAACACTCAACTAAAACGCATTTAAATGATCCCCATAAACAAAAATAACCAAATGCTCATAAATAACTAGTAGTGATTAGTATGAATCCAAACATCATCAAAATAATAGTCCCATTGAATAAACAATTGTTTGTATATAGTGACTTGGTGCTTGTGATATCACAACCCCCTAATGAAGCCACGTGATTGGAGGCGTAACGCGTAGGGGAGGGGCTACGTCATCACTCGGAGAGGACTGCACAACACAATAGACGGCAGGTGTATGACTCAGAGGCCAGCAGAGGATTTCCAATGGGATATTGCGTTATTTAAACCTGTCTAATGTGAGTTTAATACTTTGATGGTGGGAATAAAAAAGTTTTAAAAGGTAAAGCACTATGTCCTCGATTTCTTCCTGCATGCGGAGTAACACAAGGAGAGGATAATTAGGAGGTCTGGGATAACAAAAGGAGTGTGTAATCCCTGAGGGGATAATCAGCCACCAGAGGATACATCCATTACTCCTAAAGGAAGGATCTCCCAATTTTACCAGCAAAAGTATATGTCCAGCAGGTTCCAGGGAAAGTGAACCGAAAGCGTGTATAGCCTAATTGCAGGCATCAAAGGAGGTGAGCGCACATCTTCACTATTTGAAGGATTCACAAAAGTCACAAATTGAGGAACAACAAGCACCAAGTCACTATATACAAACAATTTTTTATTCAATGGGACTATTATTTTGATGATGTTTGGATTCATACTAATCACTACTAGTTATTTATGAGCATTTGGTTATTTTTGTTTATGGGGATCATTTAAATGCGTTTTAGTTGAGTGTTATTAGTTGGTTTATTATTTTTGTTATATTAAATGAGGGTATTATGAATATAAATGAAATTGAGGGTATTAGTAAGTACATCATGTCACTAATGATTTATGAGCACTTGGTAAAATATTTTTTCAGAGGAGTATTTTATGTGGAATTATTTTGATATTTATTTGGAGGAGACTGATTAGTTGAAATTATCTATTTAAATATTTTTTGGTATTTATACACTTTTTAGTTATTTGTATCATAATTTGAATTAATTTAATGGTAATAATTTAATTATTTATTGAGAAGTATTTAAGAGCGCAACATATATTTGTAGATATTTCTAACACAGTTGTAGTTATGTGTTTTATGTTTGCGATCCTCTAGTAATTATCACACCTGTGGCTCACAAGTCACTCTGATTCATCTATACCTATCTTTTATATCCAGACACAAACTTCCAGTCATATTAAAAAAAATAAAATAATAATCAAACTAATCTCTGACTGATATTGTCATAAAGGTGTAATGTACAAACATAGGAGGTAAGATAATGTGTTTCCTGCATTAGAAAGTGACAGCTCCAATCTGCCTGGTTATTTGCAAAACAGGCACCTTGCTCTAGATATCTGCTGGATCAAGATGTACCAAATAAAACAGCTATATACAAAAGGTAGTATTGATTATCAATCAGACTTTGTTATGGCCAATAATTATTGAGTGGTTATCACGGTTGCCTCACAGTGCTGGGGTCCTGGGTTCAGTCACCACAAAAAAAAGGCAGTAGTCACGATATTCAAGGTACGGGGCAAAAAAAAAATATCAGTGATGGTGGTAGGCTAGGCAGCGGGTCACACGGCTTTAGGTGTGTCCTTGGTGCAAGCTGGCTGGTTTCCAGCACCCTAACAACCAATGATACCAAGCGGCCAGGCCATCCACATCATGGTTAATGCACTACACTGTGCGGCCTGGCTGCTGCAATTATTGAATTTTTTTTCCATTCCTCTAAATGTCCTGATGGGTTAGCAACCTGTCTTCTATAAATGTGCCCAGCAAATAGCAGACTCTACCAGATATACTGACCTCCAGAGATTCCATAAGCTGCTCTCCTGTGGTGATATTTGGAACTTTGACGGTTGTACTGAAAGCATCCAACATCTCCATCTCTTGAAGAACATCCTTGCGGCTGGTGGTGCCAATGATCAGTAGTTTACGACCCTGAAGGCAAGAAGATGGTTAGCGGGGCTGTGGATTGAACTGAAACAATGACAATATTACAAGGTAATCATTCCCAGAGTATACTCATACCTGAGGAGGGGCTTTCTTTAGCAGCACAAGCAGAGCCTGCAGCACCAGATTGGAGAAACGGGGACCAATCGGCACATAATCTACAATGACAGAGCAGGAAATATAATCCCAAAGCGTTCCCCGACACGGCCTTTATAAAGAAGGAAGAGTACAAAAAGGCTCACCTAGCAGCCTCTCTATGTCATCTACAACAACGCAGCTCAGTTGAGACTTGTAAGCGTCATCAAATATCTAGGAAAGAATTACAAATCACAATGATTAGCATGGAATATAGGGGAGGGAAGGAGTAAGAATGAGAGATATTAAATGAGCAACACGAGTCAGCAGACTATAGCAGTGGTGACCAGCTAGGGCAGGAGTAGGCAACCTGCGGCTCTCCAGCTGTTGCAGGACTACAAGTCCCATCATGCCTCTGCAAATCATAGCTGTAACTCAGTTTTGTAATGTTGCAATGCCTCATGGGAAATGTAGTTCCACAACAGCTAGCGAGCTGTAGGTTGCCTACCCCTGAACTAGGGGATGATTTGCTAAAGGAGTAGAGGTGGTTGTCTTTGCAAAGCGAGTGTTCATATATGAGGTACAGCTGTGTTCACTCTGAATACCTAATGATATCGTACAAAAAAAAAAAAAGTTTTTTTTTTTTTTTCCCCCCACATTGGTTATTTAAAGCAAAGTGAACAGGGCCTCGCCTTATCTACTATTAGCATTGCCTCTCCTCCTTCAGTACATCACCCCCATTGTACATCTGAAGCACAAAGTACATTAGTGGTGGCATAGCTGGCTCTGTTGGTGGTCTGACATCGTGAATAACCATCAATCATCTTTATGACATTAAAATGGTTCTAAAGGGAACCTTTTTTTGTTTTTACCTTAATGCATTTAGCGTAAAAAACACATTTTGCCATTTGCTGTGCCCCCTTCCCCGCCAAATAGTTACATGGCTCTCATATCAACCTGGCACTGTGCCGGTGTCACTTACACAAGCTTGGCTGACAGCAGTGGGAGCGATTGGCTCCTGCCGCTGTCATTTAAGTCAGTAAGCAGAGATTGGGGTTTAGATGCGCTGTGTGTGTCAATGGACACACACAGCAGCTAGGGACTGATCCCGCACGTCTGCCCTCATAGGAAGCACTTTAAAAATGAAAGTGTACTTCAAACAAGGTTCCCCACCAAGTGTAAGCATCATATCACTGGTGATCAGAGAAGTTAGGACCCCAAAATGCAACTTGCCAATCCCTGCTGGACTTGATTATATAGCTGTGAGATGGAAAAGAGCAAATAACAGCCAGGTAAAAGGAGCACAGAGCTGCTGCCCAGGGAAACCAGATTCCTACGACTTTTCCTAATCTGGGCTAGCAAATACAAAGGAACATTTGCTTGGCTGCTATGAGCAATGTATTTTCCCCAGTTATTATTCAAGCTCTGTAAAGTCATGACCCGGGAAGAAGAGAGTGAGTACTTTTTTAATAGCTTGGCACTTAGCGGTCTCTGAGAAGCCAATCATCTTCTCTGGTGAGCAGATCTTGATGAATGGGAAGTTGGATTCCTCAGAGATCTTGGCAGCCAGTGCTGTTTTGCCACTGTGTGGCGGACCTGTCAAGGAACAAACAGGAGTCAGCAGAAAAATATTTAATGACCTTTCTATACAAAATCATAAACTGCACCTCCAGCAGAATTCAATATTCCTACCTTCCAGAAGGACACTGACAAGGGGTGTGCGGTCACTGTTCTTTGTCTGCTGGACAAGCAGTTCCCCGTCCTCCAAGACACGGGTGACGGGGTCTCCCCACTTAATGATGCCGTTCATGATGTAGCTTGCATAGTCCTCTTGGTTAGTTCCAAAGGCCTACAAAAAGGTGAGATGCAACAAACTGGGTGTATGTGACACATAACAGGAGCAGTACGGCACATCAAGACAATAAACAGGGATACATTATCATAGTGAAAGTCCAGGAGGCTCAGTATCTGCCATGAGGAGGAAACAACTACTTACAGGCTTTATATCGTTCTCCAGGGATGTTAGGAAGTCTCCCCTTGTCACTTGCAGACGCTCTGCCTTCTCCATGTCAACCTCAACTTTGTTAGTGGCCTAAGAAGAGAGGGGAGATCTTTACTGAAGGTATCCAAGGTTACAAACCAGCTACCAGGAGGAGCTTTTCAATACATAAAACCCACTGAAGGCTAAAGTGAACAGGTATTCATGGTTTCCTTCTGACATCAGCTTGTGAAGCATTTTTGACAGAAATGGAATGTCTACATCAGCGGTGTCAAACTGGTGGCCCTCCAGCTGTTGTGGAACTACAAGTCCCATCATGCTTCTGCCTGTATGAGCCATTCTTATAACAGTCAGCCTTGCAATGCCTCATGGGACTTGGAGGGCCACCAGTTTGACACCTGCTGTCTACACTAACCTTTAGGTTATATATTCTGAATGCATTTCAAGTGTGGATATTGATGAAATACAGAATGGATTAAAACCTTGTACATATCAATTTCAAAATCAAGAAGGAAAACAAGCAAACAGATTCAGCTTCAGTGAAGGCCATGCATGTCTAAGGCTAGGTTCACATCTGTGCGGGTGGTGCCGCTGCAGATCCGTACGAAAATCCATGCAGCCGCACCACCTGCATAGAGGAATGCGGACCCACGAGTGAGTACCATTAGTTCTAATGGCACACCACCAGCACTGTAAACCGCAACTGTACTAGGAACCGAGGTTCCCATGTGGGATGCATTTTCAGAAGAAGTGCAAGGACTTCTTCCCTGCGTGTCACAGGAGTCCATTCAAATGAATGGGCTCTCGTACCTTCGCAAAACGTGGCCCACACAGCCGCATATATGTGAACCGGGGTAAAGGGATGCTAAGGGTGCAACACTTCGTATTCACTACACTAGAACCAATCATGTGACTATAGATGAGGCAGAAACTTCCACTTAGCACTCATTTTGAATGATTTCAACAAGTGAACTGGAATGGCCTATTCTGATCTTGATAGAACATGAGCTGGTTAGGATCTACAATCTACTATTTTTGCAATGTGCTGCATATAACGGACCTATTTTCCCATTCTATAGATGAGAGACTAGAACAGGCCTTTTGCCAGGTATTAAGGTCAAACGAGTGTTTACACATTCCGGATGGTGGTTTGATATTGTCAGGTGTTGAAATATTAGGAAGATTATGGCTGGGGAAGCGATCACCAAACCTTTCCATTCTGAAAGCTCTTTCTAAATGGTAGCATTCCATTCAGCCTTACCTTTAGTGTGTGATATTCACAAATAAAAATAAACATATTTAAAACCTGCACCTCTCATATGAAGGTACACAGACTCAAAAGAAAGGCAGAAGTGTCCAGGGATCAGACCAATGTGTTCAATGTCATGGAATTATGTGAAAGACAGATTAGCAGCTTTGTTCTAGTGAACAGTAATTATGTCTGTGCCGGATTCCTGCCTCCATATCTACACTTAGATCAATATATATTTGGACACAGGCACAATTTTAGGTTTTTTTTTTTCAGGTATTGACCAAAAATATTCGATCTATAGTTCTATAATGGATATGGGCTGAAAGTGCACACTCTCAGGTTTAATGTGAGGGTATGTACATCCAAATTGGAGGAAGGGTTTAGGAATTACAGCTCTTAAGAATAGCCATCCCCTTTTTTCAAGGGACAAAAAGTAATTGGACAACTGAATAAAATCATAAATAAAATGTTGATTTGTAATATTTTGTTGAGAATCCTTTACTGGCTGTAATTCCTAAACCCTTCCTCAAATTAAACCTGAGAGTGTGCACTTTCAGCCCATATACATTATAAAACTATAACTTGAATATGTTTTGGTAAATACCTGAAAAAACAAAAATTTGTGCCTGTGTCCAAATATATATGGACCTAACTGTATATTCCCCCAAATTGATATTTGTTATGTGCTGGATAAATAGGCTTTGGCTTACTGTATGGTAAGCGGATATTAAATGAAAGGCAGTAAACACACTCATCATGTTCTAGGGCTCATCTATAGCACAGAGTTTTCAGACATCGTGGTGTAAATACATAAACATGCTGAAAAACAAACTCTTTTAAAAAGGTCAAGATCACCTTTAAGAAATAAAATAATAAATGCACATTTTTTCAGGAAAGAAATGTGCATTTATTGTTTTTTTTCACTAGAACCTGCAAAGCATTGCACCTGTAATCAGTGGCTCGTGGGTGCAATGTCAGGCTCCTGCAGACTCGTTCTAAATTTATGGTAGAGGTATGAGCAGAGAGCTGTAGAAAAAGTCCATCTGCCTTGGTGGCAGATGGGACTTGTAGTTTATTCATTCACAGATCTCTGTGAAACAATGACACAACTTTGTGGGTGGAGCCCTGCACAGCCACATCGATTTTACATGTGGAAGCGGCTACAGGAGAGAACCCCCCACGATCTGTCACATATATGCTCCTAAAGGTGAACCTAGCCTTTAAAACATGCCTGCTATCTCATTGTGTTCTTGCACTTAATGTGATTAGAATCTACTTTGCAGATTCCGTTTGTTGGCACTATGAGGTCTATGGGGGTTCTCATTTATCTAGGTCATCATATAGCTAAAAGCAGAATCCACTTGGACAAGAAATGTCTTTAGCAGTATAGAAAGTGACTAACGAGCCAGTGGATGCAAGTCCTGCTTAAGAGTGGACACCAAAGATGACACCTATGACCTTTATGAAAACCCTTTCTTGTGCTTCCCTCTGATCTTGGATTAGTAAGGGCTTGAGTTTAGAGCTAAGCCCTGCTGGCAAGGTATAGACCCTCCATTCCCCCCACCCAATGACAGCTTTAATTGGCTACGGATACACTTTTCAGTCATAGGGGTGGGCTGTGGGTGACTAAGCTGCAAAATCAAGATGCTGAGCCCAAACACAGTAAGACCAGGATAACCAGGACACACAGGAGAGGGCTTTCTGGCCAACAAAGGTACACCTTGTCATAAAACAAAACATCTTCATAAAGCAGCAACTGCCCAATTCACAGACCACACAACTCAGGGAACAGGCAGCTAGCAGTGGCATTTTGAACCCAATCTGTGTGAACATAGACAACCCATCTGATAACATTTATCATTATTCAGTTTTAACGAAAGGACCAAGAGCTAATACCGGATTGGTAGATATGGCTAAATATAGAGGTCTTTAACCCCTTCCCGCTGACTGTACGCATATAGGTGGCCTCAGAGAACGGGGCTTTTTTCCCGTGGGGCCGAACATATGCGTATCTGTCTTTGTGCTGGCAGTGCAATGGACAGCACATTACCAGCACAAATACGGGGCTGTCACAGGTCTTATACCAATGATCAGGACCCAGGACTCTTGGTTCCAGGTCACCTGATCACTGTGATAACCTGTGATTGGCCATCAAAGTGATCAGTCACTGTGCAGCCACCCTGTGTTTTTTTCTCTCAGAATGGGAGAGAGATATATTGGATCTCGCTTTCACTGCAGAAAAAGAAGTAAACAAGCATGTGTAAAAAATAATAAAAAAAAAAAAAAATAATAAAAAATATATATATTTTATATATGAGAAAAAATACCTAGATCTAGGTCAGTGCCAAAGTCAGTGTTAAAAGTCAGGGTCAGTAAATTTTGGGCAGGATATTTTTTTTTTTTTAAAGAGCATTTTTAATTACTTCCTGACAGCGATATAGCCGATTGAGAGCTACAACACAATTGTCCAGTTCTGGGAGGGCGTCAAATGATGTCTTCCCAGAACAGCACCCCTCGCACACCCCCAGAGGAACGCACCCGGCACTCTCTGTGATCACTGTATCCTTTGTACACAGCTGATCACATGGCACGGTAAAGGGCAAATCTCAGCAGCCTTTTAGCATGTGATCAGCTGTGTCCAATCACAGCTAATTACTATGTAAACACCCTTCCTGGTTATTGACAGTACTTTCCTCAAGCTGTCACAACGTGAGGAAAGTACTGCCTATAACCAGCTAGTCTGAAAGGAGACATTTACACTGATAATCAGGGCACTGATGATCAGTGCAGCCCTAAAAGTGCCCATCTGTGCCCATCAGTGTCGCCAATCACTGCAGCCTCATCAATGCTCACCAGTGCTATCAGTGCCCATAAGTGCAGCCTCATCAATGCATATCAGTGAAGGAGAAAAATGACCTGTTTGCAAAATATTATAATAGAAACAAAGAAAAACTTTTTTCTGTCAAAATTTAAAAAAAAGTCTCACCTTGATATGTCGATTCATGGCTGTGGATTGTGCTGCCCTCACCAGCCCCTCCAGCTCGGCTCCACTGAAGTTTTTGGTCTCCGTGGCCAACTCAGGAATTTCCACATCGATAGCTAGTAGTTTGTGTTCCCTCATGCGAGCAGTGTGGATATGCAGGATCTGGATGCGACCTTTCTCGTCGGGCAGGCCTGAAGAAGCCCAGATAACACAGATGTGTCAAGGGGGGGGGGGGGGACAGAGGAGTGTTGCAGTCCTTAATAAAAAGTCACACTCACCAATCTCCATTTTGACCTCCAGCCTGCCAGGTCTCAGAAGAGCCTCATCTATCAGGTCTGGTCTGTTGGTCATCCCTGTACAGGACACACAAAGGAAGAATGACGGTGATATGGCTGCAGCACCCATGTAGTGAGAGAGATGCCACCTATCAGCTAAAGTCTTACCTATTACTAGGATGTTATTAAGTTGCTCCACACCATCTATCTTAGACAGCAGCTGGTTGACTACAGTGTCATGGACGCCAGTGCTGCCCGCCATGCTGCCTCTCTGCTTACATATGGCATCTATTTCATCAAAGATGATAATGTGCAGCCCACTGTTGGCACCAAGCTGTAGGCAAAAGAGAATATGAGAAACAAGTCTATGTGTATTAATGACATAAGGTGCATTCAGTGATATGCTCGTAGTCAGGAGTAAAGTTAACAAGCTTTACCTCTGGAGAAAACTGCCATGATAATATGATGTATATCAATCGCGGGTTTTTATCTAGCTGAAAGGCTCAGTTCATTCTAAATGGATATTTCAGTGTTTTGTAGATGAGACCCTTCAGATAAAGTCAAAGGAAGTGACGAAACGCGTCAGACACGTGACGTCAGACGTATCGACGCTGACCGGAAGTGCGATCGCGGCCATCTTGGAAGTGGGAACATGTGGCTAATGTTTCCCTAAAACTTGTTTGTATCTGTATCCCTGTGAGGAGGAGCTGCTTCATCCTTATTTTAATGTAAGTTGGCAAATAAAGGAAAATTGTGTTTTTATCCATGATTGGTAACTGTGAATTTCCTCATGAGGGAAATGGAGGAATAATCTTAGGATTTGAGGAAGCCTGATATCTGAATGAAGAGATAGCAACCCAGAGTGATGTGATGCCCTATATTTTCCTGCATAGGGTTTAATTGTCATCAGGATTTGCAAGTTTGAAGAAGAAAGAATTTAATGATCTACATGTTTGGAGATTTATTTTGATAATTGAGACATTTGGGACACTATATATATTTTTTTGGACACTTTTTGTTAGGTGGGATTGGCGGACATATTTATTATTTGGGTAAAAAAAAGAAAAAGTTTTATATATTTTGTTTGTAGATGAGACGATGAAGAGTTAATCCACCTGGCACCTCACCTGACTTCCAACCTTTGGGGACTCTGTTGGGGAGATCTCTGTAATGAGTTTCTAAGTCTTCACCCCCGCTGTGCCCATTATGAGAGCCACTCACTCTACCTGCTGGATTATTTCATATTAAAAGGGGAACAGGAGGTGTTGGAACACACAAAGTGTCTGTATGTTGGGGGGGGAGTTGGTTGGCACACATCTAAAACACCCATTTGAACAGAAATAGAGATGTAAATTATTGAAGGAAAATTGCTGTTGAAGTGTTCAAGACACATAAAAAGCCAGGGCCCGGTCAACCACCAAAGCTTGTGCAGGAGTTACATCACTGCAGCCAATTAAAATGGCCCAAGAACTTATAAGAAGATCTGGTGAAGATGGAAACTTTGCACATATTCACATTATAGCAAATAAATAGGGGCAGATTTATTTTTTTATTTTCGGCGGTTTGCTTTAAGCCACTTCAAGCCCGGACACTTTTACTCCCTTCCTGGCCAGGCCAATTTTCAGCTTTACATTGATTGCTTTTACACCCATAAAGGCTGCAAAAGCAATCATTTCTCCTTCTCTCTGGCTGCATTCTTGCAGCCATTGAGAAATACTGTGTGAGCTGTGATTGGTCACAGCTTGTCACATGGTACAAGGCTGTTGTGAATAGCCTTATACCATGTGATCTCTGTGATCATTCACAGATGTAGTAAGTAATGATGTCAGAAGTGACATCTCGCTTACTACTATTCATGTGATCACTGATTGGCCAATCAGTGATCACATGAATCGAGACCTCACACAGAGGACCCGTACAGCGATCGGTGTTCCGCTGTGTCCTCCGGACACAGCAGGCACCACTTCGCGGTGCCGCGTGCTCCCTGGCTAAAATGGCGGGCGCCGTTTATGAACGGCAACCCGCTGCACTGCTCCTGTCTGGCCGTTTATATACATGGACCGGACGGGAAGTGGTTAAGAGATCTAAAAGGAACAATTAAGAGAAGTTCATTGTTGGGCTGATTAAGTTAAATGAGAATTGTTGGGACTCACCCTCCGCTGTTCCTCTTCGGCGTCAGCGAACAGCTTGCGAATGTTCGCTTCAGATTCCCCAACGTACTTGTTTAGAATTTCAGGGCCGTTGACCACTTTAGGCTCACGGGCATTTAGCATTTTACCAATCTGTCGAGCCATGAGGGTCTTACCACAACCAGGAGGACCAAAGAGAAGGATGCCTTTCACATGCTTGCACCCTGCAGGACAAAGCATAAATCAGACTACATTAAACACAAATCCAATGAAAACCTTTGAGCATCACCCCCATTAACTACATCTAGAATTTTTTTATTTTGTAAAAATCTACAAAACTCATGGTGATGGGCCAGGTACAAGTCTGCTTTCTGAAGGTCTGTGGTGTTAGAAGATCCTTCTTTAGGTGTCCACATTGCTCCCTGGTGACGGGGATGCTTCCCATTAGTTGCATGAAGAGTCAATAAGTGTTTTCCTAAAGATTTTAGGTGACAGATTGCAGCGTTGGGTGACCAGTCTTCACTACCAGAAGAGCTGCCATAATGGCAAATACATATGTAAAAAAAAGGGTGTTGGAATTTGTCTGCTGAGATGGGCCGATTCTGCCCAGAGATGGGCTTTAATATTTCACAGAGAAACTGGCTGACTTAAAAAATTTTTTTGCAATTTTCACTGCCGTGATCCAACTTCCTGTTAGATGGTGTCTACATTAGTTCAATACCGTTCTGCTGTTTGTAAGAACATGGCCACCCTCTCTTGCTTGTTCCTGGGTAGGACATGGATACACAGAATATAACTGGATACTAACATTTCTAGGTAAAGTGGATCCAGGGAATATCCGATTGCCTCTCAGGGGATCAGGAAGCAAGAGCAAATTGGATCATGGTTTTCTGGGTTTTTTGCCTTCCTCTGGATCAACTGTGGGTGTGGGATTATAACTTTTTTTTTTTTTTTAAATGGTTGAAATGGATGGACTTTTGTCTTTTTTTCAGCCAGACTAACTATGTAACTATATGGGATGTGCTGTGTGCATAGAGCAAGGCATATGACTTTAACTATTGTGTACTGCTCGTTCTAAACAAATGGAAGTGAGTGAGAAAAGGAGAGGTGCGGGAGCTCACAGACGACATTACAAGGAGACAGTAAAACAAAACAGGAAAGGATTTAATAAAAAATTGACTATAGGGCGATTAACTAGTGGGATGTGTATAGATAATTTTTGGAGAACAATGATATTGTTTAGCGTCACTTTAACTTTTTGTAGCTTTGGATAGGTTTGTAGCTTTGGGTAGGTCTCTATTCCTGCTAGGGAGATTCATACGCTCCGGTTGTCCTTTTTACCATTGTCATTGGAACAGAAAGTGATGGGAACTCCGAAAATGTACAATTGTCACCAGAAGAGAAGGTAAGGGTAAATCCTCCAATGCAGGCACCTGTCAGGATCTAACCCCCGGTTCACATATATGTGGACGTGCGGGGTACGGTTTGCGAGGGCCAGGGGCGGACTGACCATTTGGAATACTCGGGCACTGCCTGAGGGCCCGGGGTCAGTTGGGGGCCCCATGAGATGCCCCTGGTACCTTTTTCATAGGCTTTTTTGAGTTTGGGCAAGGACACAGGGACCCCATGATCCCCTATTGCCCGGGGGCCCCATGAGTTGTCAGTCCCCCCTGGTGAAGGCACGAGAGCCCAGTCATTTGAATGGACTCCCGTACCCCGTGACACACAGGGAAGAAGTCCCTGCACTTCTGAAAACACAGCCCGCACGGGAACATCAGTTCCCAGTACGGTTGCTTTTTCCAGTGCGAGCGGCGTGCCATTAGAACTAATGTCACCCACCTGTGGGTCCGCATTCCACTGTGTGGGTGGTGTGGCTGCACGGATTTTTGTGCGGATCTGCAGCCGCACCACCCGCACAGATGTGAACCTAGCCTAAGAGAGGATTTCCTGTCAATTTGGAGAGATTTCATCTTACTTCCTGTTGTGCCTCTAGGACAGGAAGTGGAGGGGATCTGTGAACTGGGTAGCAGACAGCAAGACAAGAAACAAAGTTTATAGGCATTCTGTCCTGTTTAACTGGAAAGAAAAAAAAGCTTTAATTTGTGTTTTATACGTATATTCCCACGGGAAATGCTGAGATGTGAAGTTGGGGTCTTGTGCTAGGTGCTCCTATACGCAGTAAAACACGCCGTCAAACATATAAATGAAATGTCATTTATTTTCAAGCAGAAGTCAGGCATTTTTCCCAAGCATCGCTGAGCAATCCAGCCGTATCTTGTAGTTTTTTTATCTCCTCCTGTGTGTTTCTTGTACACTGACACCTGTGTGCCAGGAAAAGGTCACAGTCCAGGGGAATTAGACCGGGATGACAGGCAGCTCCCTCTACCAAAACACACCTGTCAGCACAGCCTGGTAATGGAGTGCCAGTAGTGGGCCTATGACAGCCTCTCCTTCTTATCAAAGTTCATCAGGTTGCGCAGACCTTCAAACATTGTGTTTAATACTCATCAGTAATGAAAAAAAAAATACAGAAATGATTTTGCATTAAAAGGGAGTTGTGTATGGATGGAGTCCACTCCTAAAACTAAAGGGTCCTAATTTTGAGGTTTTTCGGTCATTGGTTACTGGCTTCCATCATTAATGGGGAGAAATTGAACTTGAACGTAGGTTTGTACTATGACCTTCCCCACCTAGTAAGCCTGGAACAAGCATACTGCCACTGCAGTCTGAACTGTCATTCCTCATGCTTGTTCCAGTTCACCGGCTCATGAGACAGTGACACCATCATCAGGATAAAGGCTCTGGGCTCAGACGCCTGCACCGTTAGCGGCTTTAGGATATACTGCTACAGGGCGGCACCTGTGCGCAGGATCACACACACACATACATATATATATACATACACACACACACACACACATACTGTATATGTATACATACACACACATATACATACACACACACGTCATTCTGGATTTCCAGGTAGGGACACTCACAAGCCCTATCCGCGCTGCCTTTCGCAGCTGCGGATGTCAATCAACAGGTCCTGGCTGGTAATTACCAACCGGTGTCCAGTGATTACTGAGCATCTCAGACAGGGAGGAAGATTGTTTTGTTTACAAACAATCTTCCTCCCTGTCAGCTCAAGCACACTGCTCAGGATGGCTGTGCATAGTACCGGCATCACGATCAGTGTGCTTACAGTGAAGAACACCCCCCCCCCCACCCCCTAGTAAAACACTCCAGGCACACCGTTAACCCCTTCCTGCCCAGTGCCATTAGTACAGTGTCAGAGGTTTTTTTTAAGCTCTGATCACTGTATTGGTGTCACTGGGATGTCAGTAAACAAGAGATCCCTGTGCTCAAATCCCAACAGCTAGTGCATGCAATTTCTAGTGTTAATATGTGGTTACAACCCTTTAGCACCTGATGGATAAATGCATGCACTAGCTGTTGGGATATGAGCACAGGGATCTCTTGTTTGTTGTATTGCTGGGTCAATAGCCAGACCTGAACCTTGTAGCTCTCCCCATTGTGTCTTTTCCCCTATGCTAGCATTGTGTCCACAGTAGCACTTGTGTAGGCAGGGCAGAGTAGGACTGGCCATAGAGGGATTACTTTGACGCAGTTGGCCAGCTTAAACATGTATTGCAATATGTGTGAACTAAATATCCCTATTTATTGCATAGTCTGCTTGAAAGGGTATATACCAGAGTGCAGAGGGTCCTTCAGAATTTCTACTAGGATGTCAGTGACACCAAGTTAGTCCCCCTCCCCAGTGTCAGAATGTACGCTGCAGTCCCAATAAAAGTCGCTGATCGCCGCCATTACTAGTAGAAAGAAAAATTCCCATTATCTATACAGCCATTTGTAAATGCTATGACTTTCCTGTAAACCAATTAATTTATATGTATTGGGATTATTTTTTTTAACAAAGACACGTCGCAGAATACATTTTGGCCTAAATTTATTATGAAATTTGAATTCTTACTGGACATGTTTAATAGCAAAATGCAGTGTATATGAGAAATATTGTAAGAGAAAAAAAAATGAATTTTGAGATCTGGAGAAGACTGAGAACAGAAGGCAAAGTTTTGAGGCAGGAATACATACGCTGAATAGAATTTATTTTTAAACCAGAACTTAGTGACACATTAGGAATATAGATACACCTTAAAGTGACCCACTTGCCAATATCAAATGACAATTAAACCCATTATCTGAACGGAAGAGTATAAATACTCACCTGCCCTGCTGTCGCCATTTGCCAAAATGTCTCCAAAAGTCTGCTGTGAAACTTACACTTCTTGGAATGTCGAACTCCTGTGTCCCCTGCAGTGCTCCGTGGTTCCTCCTACTGACCTCCATGTTAGTGCTCTATCCTGTAGTGGTGTGGAGGTCAGCAGGAGAAATCAATGAGCACAGTGGACATCCCCAGAAGTGTCAGTTTCCCAGCAGATTTCTTGGAGATGACGCTTCAGCAATGGCAACAAAGGCAGAAGGAGAGCTGGGTATTTAAACTCTTCTTTTCAGTTAACACGTTTATATATTTTTAGCTTTGATCTTGACAGCTGGGTCACTTAAACTGAAGAATAAGGGTGCAGATCTGTCTTAGGTAGTGATAGTTTAAAGATCTAGTCTCTGTACTCTTTGGTCATGATACGTATAGGACGAAGAATTCTAGCACTCAGCATGTATAGTATGGCAATTCTACTTCCTGGCAGAACGAATGACTGGCACATAGGTTGCACCCACCGCAATAGCAGAAACAAGGATCTGACTCAGCCCACAAAAGCTCTACTGAAAATATCAATTCAGGGTGGAATCACACTATAGAAATTCCCCACTGAGAGCCAGCAGGGGCAGTGTCAAGGCATTTTCATGGAATGCAGCAAAACGCAAAGTGACCAAATCAATACACAGAATATAACTGGATATAACATTTATAGGTGAAGTTGATCCAGGGAATATCCGATTGCTTCTCGGGGGATCAGAAAGAATTTTTTTTCCCTGCAGGAGCCAATTGGATCATGCTTTGCTGGGTTTTTTTGCCTTCCTCTGGATCAACTGTGGTTATAGGATTATAACTTTTTTTTTTATTCTAATGGTTGAACTGGATGGACTTTTGTCTTTTTTGAGCCAGACTATGTAATAAGTACTCGTGTATTGCTTTATTCAGCTTTACACATTCTTTAGACCCAACATGCAGAAAAAAATGAAGGTTCTTTCCATATTTGTTTCCCAATCAGCACTTAGCACTAGAGTTCCGAACCATACAGTGAAAAATAGGATTGCAATATGACTTCTATGCGTGATCTTTTCTTTGTTTCACAATTTATAGGGAAGATTCTACAACTTTATCATTCATACAGCAAGTGAAAACATACAGCGACAACAATCATGTCCTGCATATAACATGTCACCCCAACTAAAAGACTTACCCATTTGCTCCACAATCTCCGGAGGGAAGACTCTTGAAGCAAAGGCTCGCCTGAAAATGTCCGAGAACTCCTTGTCCAGACCACCAATGCCCATCTTCTCAAAGTTCCAGTCGGGGTTGATGATAGACTGACGGTCTTGCTTGGTCTTTGATTTACCTGAAGTTAGAGATCACATGTCACAAGGAGTCAGTACAGCAGCTCCATTCAAAGGTTTTAATTAGAGAGTAAAAGAGCTCTGCCATTAGAAACTGGAGAAAGGATTTCATATAAAAAGAGAAATTCCAGATCCCCATTAACACAGCTATATATTAAACAGCTGAACTTGCCTGATCTGTCTTTTTATTTTTCTTTCATCTCCAGTCCTGTGTAATAGCTCAGTTCTTATACAGACTTATCACTGGTCTCTGCTGCCCTCTATCAGCTCCATGTAATGACTGCTAATGAATAACTAAACGAAGCAGATTAATTGCTTGTCGGTTCTCTTCTGCTTGAATTAAAATGACAGCTAAATTCTTTCAATGTCAAAAAGATTTTACAACTACAAGCAATGGTGACCTGTGTCTAGGCATGTACTGTGTATTCATAAATATTAGCCCACACGTGTAAGAAAGCACATGTAATTAATTATTACCAACGGCATTAGGAAGAGCATTGGATCACGATCTATAGGAGATATACCACAAGTTCACGGGAAGATATTTAAGATTTAAAGGGACAGTCCACTATTAACCACTTCAAGTGCGGACAATTTCACCCCCTTCCTGTCCAGGCCAATTTTCAGCGCGATCACGTTTTGAATGACAATTACGCGGTCATGCAACACTGTACCCATATGAATTTTGTAGCATTTTTTTGAGACAGATAAAACTTTATTTTGGTGGTATTTATTCACCACTGGGATTTTTATTTTTTTTGTTATATAAATGAAAAAGTCCAAATTTTTTTTTTTAAAAAAAAGCTTTTCTTATAAAATTTTGCAAATAATATTTCATCATAAATCTTGGCCAAATGTATTCAGTTATCTTTTTAGTAAAAACAAAAATAACCCAAATTAGTTTATAACCAAAAATTATAATTAAAAAAAAATTTTTTTTTTTACATTTTTATATTTGTTTTTTTTTTTTTCCATACTGTCAGCTTAGCAGTACACTGTACTACTTGTGGGGGGTGATGATTTTTTTTTTTTTTTTTTACACTAATTGCTTTTACACCTATAAAGGCTGTAAAAGCAATCGTTTCTCCTTCTCTCTGGCTGCATTCTTGCAGCCATTGAGAAATACTGTGTGAGCTCTGATTGGTCACAGCTTGTCACATGGTACAAGGCTGTTGTGAATAGCCTTGTACCATGTGACCTCTGTGATCATTCACAGATTTCACACGTTGTAAACAATGAGGTCAGAAGTGACATCTTGCTTACTACTCTGCATGTGATCACTGATTGGCCAATCAGGGATCACATGATCAGGACATCACACAGGTCCCGTACGACGATCGGTGTTCCACTGTGTCCAGAGGACACAGCGGGCACTGGATCACGGTGCTGCATGCTACCAGGGAGTACGCACAGTCCAAAAAAGCGGGCGCCGTTTATCAAGCTGTGAACAGCCTCCGCTTATTATGTAGCTTTCAGTTATCATGACAATGTGATGAACATTTACTTAACAGCTCCTAATGGTTCTGCTAATCAGAGAGGCTGAACAGTACAAACCAGAGTGTCCAATCAGATTTTAGCTGTCCTTATTTTTCAACAGATCAGGAGATGAAAGCTGTTACATGACTGGGTGATAATAGCGAATCAGATAATTTCTGTTTCTTCTACTTTTTACTGCAATACATTAGCTTTTAGTGTCAGATCTCCTGGTTTAGAGAGCAATGCCCTACTTTAAGTATCCCCTCACACTCCCAGTGACTACGACACCAACCCCAGTGCTGAGCCACACCATAAACCCCAGGCCTTTCAACAAAGGATTTTTGCTTCTTATTTAAATACAGTACTTACATATACAGAACTATTTAAATCAGTGCCACTGAGAGCTTTCAATCTAGTTTATCTACAGACATACCAAGGCCAACTTGGGTGGCAGTCAATTAACCCTTAGGTAAACCCCAGCGCAGAGCCTTCCTGAAAACCCTGACACCAAGTCTACTTGAAGGTTAGGGACTGATGTGAATGTACAATATATATGCACTGCGCTGCGTAAATTGACGGCGCTATATAAGTACCTGAAATAAATAAAATAAATACTTGTAACCCTTAGTGATGGAGTCTTCCTGTAAACACCAGCATCAAGCCTTCAGGTAACCACAGTACTAAGTCTCCCATTAACCCCAATGTTAAAGTGTTACTAAACCCACAATACTACAATCAGTCTGCATATGCAGTAAAGCATGCTTGTTATACTCACTGTGGAACCTAAGGGGTTAATCCTCTGCATTGTGTAAAAAGGCTGTTTGATCCTGACTTCTCTGCCCCTCCTCTTGTTCAAATTTCCACATCCAATGTCTAAAGCCGTAGCCACATGCACATGCTCTGTTTGATGTGTATTGCTAGAGAGGTTTTTTTTTTTGGGGGGAGGGGGCATGTGATCAGCACAGGGCCAAACAGCACTATCCAGATAGAGGTCAGGGGTTCTGCATCCTCCTAGAGCAAAAAGAAAACTCCTACAAGCTTTAACCAGTGCTCTGCTGAAGCCTCAAGACTGCTCTAACTGCTGATGAGAAAAGGTATTTAGAAGTTTATATTTAGTAAAATAACTGCATTTCCATGTTGTGTGGGAGAGCAGATTTGATGAATGCAGGGTCCTGGGTTTAGTAACACTTTAAGCCTCACCTTAACCCTTTGAGGACCGTAAGGTTTTGGAACGCCAAAATAATCAATTTTTTTGTTTTTAAAGTTCGTACACTTCAGTTGCTGTAACTAAGCCATTTCATGAAATAATTGGCAAAAAGCTAGATCCAATTGTTGTTTGTTGATAAGAACTAATATTTTGACTCAAACCAAAAAAAAAAAAAAAAAAAGTTTTAGATTCTTAATGAGATGATACACGCAATTAAAAACATGGGACAAATACGTCCCTTGGTCCTCAAAGGGTTAAACCTCCATGTAACCATAACACTAAATTGCCATGTAATCCCTAACCCTCCTTTATGTAAAATTAACTCCTTGACTGCCAGGATTCACTGCAACAAAGACTATCCCTTCCACATAAAAAAATATATTGGCACGGAAGTCTTAGCACCAGGATTTCTCATTTTGCAACACGGTACAACTCACCTGTGAGATTTAAGGACGAGTTGTCTGCCTTTTCAAACACCACCTGGCTGTTTCCCACCACCAGACCCACATCAATCTGCAGAAGAAAAAGCACACAGATCAAGTTCTACAAACAGGGAAATCACAGTGAGAGCTGTGAAAATGTGGAACAGACTCCCTCAAGAGTTGGTTCTGGCCAGCTCCGTGGATTGCTTTAAAAAAAGTCCTGGATTCTTTCCTGGATACACAGAATATAACTGGATACTAATATTTATAGGTAAAGTTTATCCAGGGAATATCCGATTGCCTCTCGGGGGATCAGGAAGGAATTTTTCCCTGCAGGAGCAAATTGGATCATGCTTTGTTGGGTTTTTTGCCTTCCTCTGGATCAACTGTAGGTATAGGATTATAACTTTTTTTTTTCTGTAATGGTTGAACTGGATGGACTTTTGTCTTTTTTCAGCCAGACTAACTATGTAACTGTATATGCTATGTCTTACCTATTGTGTAGTCTTTTGTCTTTGGTCAAAAGTCTTTTTATGCTTATTTATTTACTGTCCACAGAACGATTTACATCAATGCCACTGAGGAACTTCCAATCTACTCATCCACCAAGGTCAACTTGGGTCAATTAACCCGCCAGTACATTTCTGGACTGTACAAAATGTATGGACAGGAACTGAAGAGATAAGCCCACGGGTACAAGGCCATACGTCCAACAATAAGGCCACAAGGATGCCTAAACCATCTTTTCCAGAATTTGCTGGCAGCCACACTGCCTGTCCACAGCAGTCTACAATTATCCCCAGCAAACAATGGAAGTTCTCAGGAGTAGAACTGGCATCCTGTATGGTTATCTGTATGGCCTAAACTGGCCATACACTGTTAGCTTTTTGTACTTTTAGCCAGTGAGCTGAAGAAAAAAAAAAAAAAAAAAAAAAAAAAAAAAAAAAAAAGGGAAAAAAAAAAGGACAAAAAAGAAAAAAAAAAAAAGAAAAAAAGAAAAAGGATTCCTCCATCCACACAATTAAGATAGATGGAGGAATTTCACTACTACCACCACCGCCTACGACATTGTATTTTGACAGCAGCACCCACCACAGTCAGAATACATGGCTGCAGCAGCTGATCGATGGACATTTTTCCAACAATCAGTGTATGGTCAGCTTCAGAAGGGTGTATGGGAACAAGATAGGTAGTGACTGGTAATTGACTTCTTTTAGGCATCCATGGGGTACAGAAGAATGAAAGGGTGAACCTGATTGTTTGATAGAGGTGACCAGAACTGATCCATCTTCAGGCACTTTCTCAAAAGGCTCATACAGTTGCTAGTAGCCTAACAATCAGGAACCCTTGAAACAAGTTTGAGGTCTCATGGAACCCCTGTGACAAATAAATTACAGCCCATAGACATTAACTTGTGCATATAAGAATGAATTGAAAAATATCAGTCATGTTGCATGCTTTGCATATTTAACCTAACAGGACTCCCCTAAACATTTATTTCAAGAAAACCAATGAAATTAATTATTTTCCGTAATAATGAAATGCAATATTTTCAGTAATAACAATGACATGATGGTGGTGATCAGTTGGGGGAAAGTTTCCACTACATGAATGGTCATTAGGAAGAATTCTCCCCTTACAGACAGCTGAAAGGTGTTAGTGCCAACCCTGGTTGGGAAAGGCTGTAGTAGATGTCTTCTGCATTGGCTTCCGTGCAATTATAGAACACAAACTGACAGATTTTTAACAAGGAAATGACAGCAAAAAAATGTTGTGTAAGAAAAATGGCAAGACCGATCACAACAAAAATTATAAAAAGGTTTTAAATGACAAAAAAATCGAATTATGACCTCACCTTCTGTCTCTTGCCGGAGGACTGCTCCCCCTTCAGGATGCTTGGATCCATTGCCTCGATATCCTTAACAACCAACCCAAAAAGTTTGTCGTTGAAAGTGAACACCAGCTGTGGACAAGGAACAAAGCAGATGCTTGTTGATGAAAGAACACCCTTTACTAGGAAAAGCCAAGATATACAGTGTTTCAAACAGTAGAATTTCCAAAATGACAGCGCGGAAAGGAGCAGCAGCTCAGGTACGTTGTATTAGTATTGTCAATAGAAGATTGACCACTAATCACCAAACTGGTTTCATAACTTAAAAAAAAAAAAAAAGAAAAAAGAAACGTTACCAATGGAAATCTCTAATCTAAAACTTCATTCATGAACGGTTATAAAAAACAATATAGCCTTACCTCTAAAAGAATACTTTTTTCCCTTTTTATATTAATTACTTGTATTCACTCCCTGGCAGAGCAGAAATATCAGATGGAGTCACACTGTAAGGCCATCCCTTCTCTTGATGATAACAGACACCCAAAAACCAACAGAACCTCATTACAGTTATGATTACATCAAAGAAAACAAATGGCTTTATTAACTGCTTTAGGACCACCCTATAGCAGATATACTGCTACAGGGCTGCACTTGTGCGCAGGATCTCATATATATATATATATATATATATATATATATATGTGTATGTATGTGTCAATCTGCATTTCCAGGTAGAGCCGCCGAAAACAATCACAGGGTCCCGGCCAGTAATTACCCACCGGTGCCGGCGATTACTGAGCATCTCCGGCGGGGAGGAAGATTGTTTTGTTTACAAACAATCTTCCTCCCTGTCACCTGAAGCACGCTGCTTGGGAATGCCGTGCACAGTACAGCCATCCCGATCAGTGTGCTTACAGTGTAGAACACTCTCCCCGCCCCCTAGAAAAAACACTTCCAGCGCACAGTTAACCCTTTGATCGTCCTTCACATTAACCCCTTCCTGTCCCGTGTCATTAGTACAGTGTCAGTGCTTTTTTTTTTTTTTTAGCACTGATCACTGTATTGGTGTCATTGGGGTTAGTCCCCCCCTCCCCCCCCCCCAGTGTCAGAATGTCCGCCGCAGTCTTGCTAAAAGTCGCTGATCTCCGCCATTACTAGTATAAAAAAAAATCCACTATCTATTCCGCCATTTGTAAATGCCATCACTTTCACGTAAACCTATTAATTTACATGTATTGGGATTTTTTTTTTTTTAGCAAAGACATGGAGCAGAATACATTTTGGCCTACATTTATGACGAAATTTGATTTTTTTTTTAATTTTTACTGGATATGTTAAATGGCAAAAACTCCAAAATATTTCTTCTCAAAATTGCCGGTCTTTTTTTGCTTATAGCGCAAAAAAAAAAAAAAAAACGCACATGTGATCAACTACCACTGACAAAAAAAACAAAAAAAGGACATAAATTTCATTTGGGTGCAACGTTGCATGACCACGCAATTGTCAGTTAAAGTAACGCAGCAGGGCCGTAACACAAAAAATGGCCTGGTCAGGAAGGGGGGTAAATCCTCTGGAGGGCAAGTGGTTAATTGACAGGATTATCCTCATCCAGTATCTTAGAGAGTTCATACAAAAGTAGTCACACACTTATGACATCAATCCTCCGATCAGTTTATTCACCACATGCATACTGACATTCACCGCCTGTAGCCACAGCCCTCTGATGGATTTCGCCTGGATTGGCATAAGTCATAGCTAGTGTGTTGGTGATCAGCTCTGACCCCACCATGTGGGCCTTACAGTACATCATTAAGCTGACATTTCTGCTGTGACAGGAATGAAAACAAGTGAATAACAGTACACATCGCTATTCCTGAAAGGGAAGGCTGCACTATTATGACAACTTAATTTCTGACTGGTTTTCCTCACAGATTTAACACAAATCAGTTTACACTGCTGCCCCCAGGGTTTGGATCATGATTTGCAAAGTCTGTGTTAAGCATGGTGTGCGTCTGCACTACACCCATACACTCCGTGAAGGAAACATATGTGTAGGCAGGATTGATAATTAACTACTTCCCATCCGGCCCATGTACATAAAATGGCCGGACGGGAGAGCTGCCGGAGCTGTTTCTATACGCCCTCCTGCATCTATTGCCTGGAAGCGCGCACCACCGCAATCGGTGCCCGCTGTGTCCAGAAGAACAACGATCTCTGTACGGGTCCTCCGTGTGAGGTCCCGATTCATGTGATCACTGATTGGCCAATCAGTGATCACATGAATAGTAGTAAACAAGATGTCACTTCCTGATATCATTGCTTACTACTTGTGAAATCTGTGAATGATCACAGAGGTCACAGCCTTGTACCATGTGACAAGCTGTGACCAATCACAGCTCTTACAGTATTTCTCAATGGCTGCAAGAATGCAGCCAGAGAGGCAAAACGATTGCTTTTACAGCCTTTATGGGTGTAAAAAAAAAAAAAAAAATTCTTCATCGCCCCCCCCCACACGTAGTACAGTGTCACTATGGTGACACTGTACTGCTAGGGTGACGGTATGTTAAAAAAAAAAAAAAAAAAAAAAAAAAATAGATAAAAAAAAGATAAAAATGTAAAATGTTTTTAGAAACATTATAATTTTTTGGTTATAAATTAATCTGGGTTATTTTTTTTTTTTTTACTAAAAAAGATGAATACATTTTGGCCAAGATTTATGAAGAAAGTTTATTTGCAAAATTTTATAAGGAAAACACTTTTTTTTCAAAATGTTTGTACTTTTTCATTTATATAGCAAAAAAATTAAAATCCCAGTGGTGAATACCACCAAAATAAACTTTTATCTGTCTCAAAAAAATGCTACAAAATGTATATGGGTACGGTGTTGCATGACCGTGCAATTAGCATTCAAAGTGTGATAGCACTGAAAGCTGAAAATTGGCCTGGACAGGAAGGGGGTGAAAGTGTCCGGACTGGAAGTGGTTAAAGTAAAACAGACAATCCACCTACAGAAGCTATAAAGTACAGGAAAAAGTGCAAACATTTCCTTCATGTAATGCTGAATACAACTGCTGCTTCTTCTTCCGAAAGGAAGCCCGGAGAGGTTCCAGGAGCCCAGAAGCCATGAAATATTTCCAAGGAAGGAGAGGGCCTAGGGCCAAGGTAAATCTCTGTACTGGCCCTCAAATGGATTTTGTCTGGGGCCAACATAATGCTTTGTAAACATGGGCACCAAAAAAGCAAAGCTTTAGAATTCCCATATGAAATGGATTACAGGCATCAGGATTGGTCTGTACTCCTGCTGCAACCACTACACAATATTTCTGAATTCTTTTGCTGAAACATCATAATGGGTAATGACCACTCAAAGGAGGAAAGAAATGAACAGCGGTCTGGTTGGTAGTCTGCCAATAGCTGTACCTGTTGCCCGACAGAGAAGGCCTGATTATTAAACTGCTGAATGTACTCTCCGGCCATCCTGTCTGTGTCGTAAGGGTTGGAGTCCACACTCTTCTTCTGTAGGAAGTCGATCTCGATGGTCATGGTTCCGACGCATTGTTTGGTTTTGTCGAAGGTATACACTGCAACTGCAAAGAGAGAAAACATGAGACTATCAGTATGGATCAGTGTACATCATAGGAGGGGCGGCCATTGTTGTTGGATTTTTCACATATTTTCCACATTAAATAAAAACACAGAACTAAATTCTTAAGCTGCTCATATAATAAACTGATCTGTCAGTGCAATTTCTGTATCATCTATCTTAGACAATCCATTTAATTAGTATACAATCTTTCCTAATAAATACAGGAGGCTAGCCACCTCCAAAATATCACGTTCCCATGGATTTGTTTTGTGCAGTTCAAAGACTCCAGGATCTGTTTTGCCATCATTCGCCATGACCACTTGCACTTTCAAGGTCAAACACTCCAGGTAAACAGCCACTATCAGGTATCACAGACATTCACACATACAATCCCAAGCTGTGCAGGCCTGAACAGTAAGCACTTCTAGCTACTTAAATAAAACACTGAAATACAAAGACTGGATTCAGTAAATGACAGCTTCATGTGAACACTCTCTGGTTTTACATGATATTTTTCCATTCCATATACGCCTGCACTCTGCAAAGACGGGGCCCACTTCTGCCAGTGCAGAGCTTCGTAGTCGCTGGCGTCATGCGCAGCGCGAGATCTACATCAGGGTGGCACACCGGCTCCATCTAGTTAATTTGCTGAAAGCTCTGTGACATGATAAACACTCTCATTGAGGCTTGTTTATTGATGTGCCATAAAAAGCTTTAATGAACGCAGAAGATCATTAGATAATTAGCAAGGCGGCTGTACAGTTGTGTGATTTCACATGGGAGGGTCTTCGCAGAAGAGGCACATATTACACGTGTACAATACACCAGCACACGGGGACCCAGGTGTTCCTTCTATTACCCATCATCCTTCATATCCAGCACAGCTGACACCCACATGCAGCTGCTATTTACAAACAAGTCGGCTTTGTTCAGCGTTTTTCAGGTTCAGAACTTGGTAGCATGCTCAGAAGAATGAGAGACGTTCACAATTAAAACAAAAAGAAGTAAAAAGAATTTACAGAGGATGATATCGAAAGATGTACAGCCTAGTTAAAGGCAAACCCTGGGTATTGCAAGGGTTAATGGTTGGAATAAAGAGAAATACCTTCATTCCCCGCTCCAACAGGCTCCTTCAATCTGTACAAATGGTTCAAGCCGTTCCAAGGCACTCCTGGTACCTTCAGGTACAATGCAGGGTTAATATCTCTGCAATGTATATGACATGGAGGGGCCCCCACAGGCTGGAGCTTCAGGAACAAGAGGGGAGTGCCAGAGCCATCCGGAGCAAGGGTTAAGGTTTGCAAATAAACTGATTGTAAACCCTTACACACCCAGTCAGGTGATACACAAAGAAGAAATCCTCCTACATAAGTTGTACATGTTTATCTGCAGTCTTCTCTTCTCTACATCCGTTCAAAGTCATGCATGTATAAAGCTTGTCTGAGCTTTCAGAAAACGGGGAGGAGAGCTGAAGTTACACACTGCAGAGTTCAGTGAAGAGAGATCAGAGAGCTGATTGGAGGGGAGGGGAACGGAAGGGACCCTCCTGGCCTTTACAAAACACACAGCAACAGAGCTGAGGCTGTCAATCACAGGCTGTGTGATGAAGCTCCCTCCCTTGTCACCTTTATTCTCTTTGTGTGAGGAAAGTGGCTCATGCAGACAGCAAAGAAACAAGGCAGCACACAGAAAGGACACTTAGCGCTCTGAATTGAGACAAGTACACACTATAAAAAGTACACACTATAAAAGGTATATGCTTTTATGCTTTGTTCAGTTTTCAAGCTTACAACCACCTTAAGTCTCATCTGCCCCATAGACTTAACAACTTTTGCAGTGTGTGGGGGGGGAGTGATTGTGAATGGGAGTGCCTTTATAATTCTTAATCAGCTGCTGTTCTGCCAGGGTTCTAACGAGGGAAGTGTCAGGGTCTGCATCCCTTTACCCGTGATTTCCCTTTGTGAGTATCTAAGCAAAAATGACATTTTGTTGCAGCGGATGCCCAAAATCTGACATGTATGTGCAGACATCTGGGAAAATTAGTAAACCAATCACACAATCAGGAAATTACATTTCTGGGAGGGGCTACATACATCATCTGTGAACAGCACACCTCTGGGTTGCCATATTACATTTTATAGAAAAATGTCAGTGCTGCAGACTGAAAGGAAAGATCATTTTTAATAATTCAACTGCAATATGATTTTTGTAGCAATTATAAAAACATTTTTTCTCCCACGAAACTGGAGCTACCCTTTAAGTGTGCTTGAGGAGAAACAAGCTAGGACACTGCATGGAATTTGCATGTTCTCCCTGTGTCTGTGTGGGTTTCCTCTGGGTACTCCCCACACTCCAAAGACATGCTGGGAGGTTAATTGGCTTCTGTCTAAATTGGCCCTAGTATGTGTATGTATGAGTGCGAGTTTAGATTGTAAGTTCCTTGAGGGCAGAGACTGATGTCAATGTAAAGCATACAGTTAGATCCATATATATTTGTACACAAGGACAATTTTAGTTTTTTTTCAGGTATTTACCAAAACTTTTTCAAGTTATAGTTAAATAATGGATATGGGCTGAAAGTGCACTCCCAGGTTTAATTTGAGGATATGTACTTCCAAATTGGAGGAAGGGTTTAGGAATTACAGCTCTTAAGAGTAGCCATTCCCCCTTTTTCAAGGAACCAAAAGTAATTGGACAACTGAATCAAAAGCTGTTTCATGGCCAGGTGTGGGCTACTCCTTCGTTATTTCTTCATCAATGAAGCAGGTAAAATGTCTGGAGTTGATTCTAAGTGTGGTATTTGCATTTGGAATCTATTGCTGTGAACCTACATCATGTGTTCAAAGGAGCTGTCCATGCAAGTGAAACAGGCCATTGTAAGGCTTCAAAAATGAAAGAAATCCATCAGAGAGATAGCAGCAACATTAGGAGTGGCCAAATCAGTTTGGTACATTCTGAGGAAAGATGAACACACTGGTGAGCTCAACAACATAAAAAGTCATGGACATCCACGGAAGACAACAGTGGGGGATGATCACAGGATCCTCTCTATGGTCACGAAAAAAAAAACCCATTCACAACATCCAGACAAGTGAAGGACACTCTCCAGGAGGTGGGCGTATCATTGTCATAGTCTACAATCAAGAGAAGACTTCACAAGAGCAAATACAGAGGGTTCACCACAAGGTGCAAACCACTCATAAGCCTGAAGAATAGAAAAGCCAGATTAGACTTTGCAAAAAAACATCTAAAAAAGCCAGACCAGTCCTGGAAAAGCATTCTTTGGATGGATGAAACTAAGATGAATCTGTAGCAGAAGGATGGGAAGAAAAAAAGTGTGGAGAAGGCTTGGAACAGCTCATGATCCAAACCACACATCTGTGAAACATGGTGGAGGCAGTGTGATGGCATGGGCATGCATGGCTTCCAGTGGCATTGGGTGATGATGTGACAGAAGACAAAAGCAGCCGGATGAATTCTGCAGTGTATAGTGATATACTGTCAGCCCAGATTCAGCCAAATGCAGCAAAGTTGATTGGACGGCGCTTCATAGTACAGATGGACAATGATCCAAACCACACTGAAAAAACAACCCAGGAGCTTTTGAAGGAAAAGAAGTGGAATATTCTGCAATGGCCGAGTCAATCACCTGATCTCAACCTAATTGAGCATGCATTGCACTTCTGGAAGGCAAAACTAAAAGGCAGTAAGACCCACAAAGAACGACTGAAGACAGCTGCAGTTAGAGCCTGGCAAAGCATCAGAAAGGAGGAGACCCAGTCTTTGGTAATGTCCATGGGTTCCAGACTTCAGGCAGTCATTGCCAGTAAAGGATTCTCAGCAAAATATTAAAAATGAACATTTTATGATTATATTTATTTGTCCAATTACATTTGAGCCCCTGAAAATAGAGGGACTGTGTATAAAAAAGGTTGCAGTTCCTAAACTTTTATATTTATGTTCTGCCCCTTGAAGTCTGCACTTCAAATTCATTTGGATTGTTTTTTGTTTTAATCTATTCTGGTGGCATACAGAGCCAAAAATATGAAAATTGTGCCTGTGCCCAAATATATATGGACCTAACTGTATAAAGTGCTACATAAATTGTTGGCGACGTATAAACATATTTCCTGCTATCAATGTTAGGTTAATCTTGCAGTTGCTCAGTGTATGGCTCACACAAATATATAGTCTCCATGGCAACCAAAAAAATTCTCTTCCGAAAGCGCTGCACTGCTGTCCTAAACTGTAACATCTCCATTGTGCGCACAAGATAAATCTTTTATGTATATCAAATTCTGCACTTAAAATCTACACTTGGTTATCAGAAAAAAAAAAAAGACTAAAATAAAAGCCGAATGAGCTGAGAGAAGACAAACCCCAAAGACGTTCACAGACAATATAAATCAATGTAACAAAACAAAGGTCAGCCTATAAAATGGTGCCCTCTACTGTGATCTGGTGATAACTGCAGCTGTACGGAGCGTCATTTATCACTGTCTGGAGGAAGTGTCTGTGTTGTTGTGGCAACCAAATGACAGTCCTTTCTGCAGTCAGTGGGCTGCAAGCAGAAAAATGACCGAGCTGAGCCACAGGGACTGATAAGTGCAGCGAGTGTAGTCATCAAACAAGCACCAAGGTGGGAGGAGGGGGGAGGGGAGAGGGTGAAATACTCTGCTGGAACAGCTGTATGTACATCTCGCTGAGATATGTGAGGACCAAGCCTTTCCTTTTAATATAGCAACCATCTACAATCACGTCCAACAATTTCTACACAGTATTTAAAGTCACAGTCCACCCACAAGTCATAGGTGGAGCCCGTATGCTGTGCCAGTCCCTAAGCTGCCTAGATTGACTGGCTGCTCCAATAATGAGATCCCCCGGACATCACCCCCTGCTCCGGTTCTGTTGACCTGGGAATTTCGTGTGCCCCCCTGACAATCTATATGTGTTCGTGTTATTCCTGTGACTTCTCCTTAAAGTGGTTATAAAGTGTATTTTTTTTCC